GTAAACTTCACTACCAAACATAAAATCGTAGAATATAAAATCGTAAAGCTGCAGGGTAAAATGTTTTGGTTTGTGTTTACTTTGTTGTCTAAAGAGAATTTCCAATGAAGTGCCATGAACTTTTATCTTCAAATAGGATGCATCAGCAGTTCATACTACTGCAATTTTACATCTTGTTGCAGTTTCATGGCAATTCTAGTGCGTGTCTGGGTGGGACAGGGTAGATAATGCCACTTTGCATATGGGAGATGTATTTGACTACCAAATTGCGAGTTGTCAGAAGAAGAAAATTTATAAAAGAATGGTGCTAAATAGAGAAGAAAAAATTGCATTTGGCATAGGAGATGATCTATTTGAGCTAGTAAAGGTGATTTACCGGTCCAACATCGATGCATAAATAAACTGTCTACAAGCTATTAAATAACCAACTGGATGATGTTCATGGGTTGTAATGGCATAACATAGTACTGGTTTATTGGATCGGTGGTCACCAATCAAGTTGGGTTCAGAGTTTAGATAGTGTTTTATAATTTTATGACCATCTACTGACAAAGTATTTATTTTCAGAGATCGTTATGCATTTATCAACATGTGATACATCATTCTCTGAAAATATTTGAACAAGCATATTGATTTCTAAATCAACACCACCACCACCACCTCCACCTCAAAATTGAACTTTGGTCAATATGTCTATGCTTTAGATTGCTTAAGCTGAGTATGCTATTCATATATTATTGATGAGCCTAAACCCTTGTTTGATGCTCATTAAAACGAACTTTTTGGGAAAAAATGAGTTATGGAATGGTAACTTCTTAGAGAATGTGGTTAAAAAATAGAGGAAAGTTTTGGGTTTACATGTAAAATATTTTTATTGTGCGAATGTGTGGTTGAAAATGAATTTTTTTTAAAATATATATATTGGAGAACGGTAGAGAAACAGGGGCAAAGTGAGATGCGAAAGAACTGTTTTTGAAGCTAAAACCCAAGACTTGTAGCCTGAGTAAATTGGATGTGTAGGCCTCATTTATTCAGTATGTCTGGCTTTTTTGTTGGGCTTGGCCAGACTTCGCGAAAATCTTCATGGCCCATTCCTTGTTGGGCACCAATAAGTTTTAAACTTTTTGAAATAAAAAAGAAGTAATCGACTAAATCCTCCCACCAGTGAGTTTCTATTACACAATTTAAACTGTTACCCTGCATTTATTACTAAAATTGTACTTTTCTGGTAGCAATGGAACCTCGTCTGAGGTCTTATATTACCTCAAACAAAGGTGTGGAGTGTTGAGAATATCGTTAGAATTGGTGAAATGTATAGATATTTTTTTTTTTTTTTTTTTGTGTTATACTACAACAAATTTTTTATTGGAAAAAAGAGGGATTCTAATCGTAAAATATCTAACGAAACCATCGCTAAAATTGAGATCTTACTGAAAGAGAATGATATCAAATATATCCTATTATTGCTCAATTTTATTTATATTTATTTAATTAAATTATTGTTTTTATTATGATTTATAATAAATTACATATCAGGTAATTAATGACTATCGAATACATTAAAATTAAATTATTTATTAAAGTGCAAGATTTGCATATTTTATAATTACAAAATAAGAAGGAATTAGCACTATTTTTTAGTTTACTAATAAATATTACATTTTAGTTAATTAAGCGTAATTTTTAATTTAGTAAATATGTATATTTTATCCTTCCAGTCACTCATTTGTGAATTAAATCAAATAAACCCTTTAACTAAACGGTAGAATAAAGCCATGATAGGGTGTAAGTCATCAATTAATAATAGTGGAAATGGCATGGGCACGATTTTCGAGTTGAATGTTTGTTTATTCAAAAATCAGGTGGTAATTTTTATATTTAAATATTAATAATAATATATTATAAAATTAAATTACACAATACTTTTTAATCCACTCAAAGTCAAATTTTATTCCAACTCTCTCTCTCTCTCTCTCTCTCTCTCTCTCTCTCCACACTCCCTCTTTCTGCCATTTCCCCTCTACTTTCTCTAGAAGCAGGATGCAAAAATTAATTTCTAAGATCCCATTTTCCCAATTTTTCAATTAGGGCTCAAATCGCTTCTATAATGATTTTGCGGTGGTTTTGCTACAGTTTATGTGGTAGTTTTTGGTAATTTTTGTGGTAATTTTGCCACGATTTTGTGGTGGTTTTTGAGATGATTTTATGGTATTTTTAAGGCCTTTTGTGGAGGCTTTTGAGGTAGTTTGTGGTGATTTTTGGAGGTGGTTTGTGGTGGTGATTTTTGAGATGGTGGTGCTTGTGGTCGCATGTTCAAAAAGCGTATGTCAAATGCTGTGTTGATAGCTGTTGGTTGTGCCTACAATGATGATAGATCACAGGTCACACGTTATTGTGCATTGGTCACATAAATATTCAAAGGTCACAAATCACAGATCATCTTTGTATGTCACAAGTCACACTTCATAGGTTACAGGTCATAGATCAATTGTCAACATATGTGGGCCAAAAAATCAATGTCTAGAACTCACATGTCACTGTGAATAGGTCTAAAATCAATCAAAATTAGCCGTCGATCAATGTTCATAGGTTACAAATCAATGTCCGCATGTTACGGATCAATTAAAATTGGTTATAGATCAATGTTCATAGGGTCACATGTCATATGTCAAAGTGCATAGGTCACAAATCACAAATTCAAAAGATCTACTCACATGCCATTGATATCTCCGAATTGATTACAAATTCAATTTACCAGATTTTGATAATGAGAATTAAAGTTATTTGCTCTAATGAGTACTCTGTAAATTCACTAGGGGGCTCTTTTCTAATTTCTAATTTTTAAAAAATAGATTTAAATTACACCAACATAGCTTAGTCGTCGAGAATGCTCAATCAATGTTGTTCAATAATCGTTATGTTTCTCCATCTCTACTATCCTCAGTCCTCGTGGAGTGACGATCAATTCGTCGCTGAAGAAGTTGTCGGCGATCTATAGATTCCATGGATGCCGATGTGTAGATGCTGATGGACGGGGTGCATGGTAGCGAGGTTGAAGTGGGAATGGGGTTTGGCAGAGTAGGTAAATTAATTTAATTCAATAATATTAATATTTAAAATTAAAATATTAAATTAACATTTGACTTTTGTAATTTTAAACTTAATCTCTAGAAATTAAATTGGTGCATACATAATACCAATATATAAAATTTTCCCTAAGTAATAATAGAAAAGGTAATTAAACAACTTTTGAAATAATTTAATTGTTGAGAATTATAAAATTAAGAAAATAAAGGGAACATAATTCATTTATGTACTATTTGGTGTACATAACTAAGAGTTTATTTGATAGATTTTATGAATAATAATTTTTTTTTACAATGTGTGGTTAAGAACTAGAAAAATATTATTGATCCACATATAAAATTATTTTATTAGAAAAATACATTATTGAAAATTAATTTGGTAAAAAAAAATTTAAAGGATGCCTATCAAATATGGACCGAATCAGATGGCTTGAAAGTTGCACCAGTTTAATAAGTGCTTGTTTGATAGAGATTTTGATAATTGATTTTTTTGACCGTTAGAAATAAAATGGATCTTACCTGTGAGAGAAGAATTCAAAAAATAACGATAACAATAAAAAAATTGATTTTAATTGACTTTTTAACTGTACCAAACAAGTTCTAAAACAGTTCAATTATTTATTCCTTGTTTTTTTTTTAAATATATCTACACACACCCCCCGAGAGAGAGGGGTGTCATCAATTTAGAGTTTGATGGATTTTAAAACTCCATATAAATTGAAGTATTTTCAATTCAGATTTAAATATAATTCATTAAAATATAGGTGTCCACAATCTAGATTTTTAAAAATACTTATAAATTTAGGCGTCCTCAACATAGATTTTAATAGGTAGTTTTGAAATTCAGGTGTCCTCAATAACTAGTTGATTTTAAAAGATTTCATTAAGTAGATAGATTTTGAAGGATTTCAAGGTAAAAATATAAGTACAAAGAATCAGTAACAATTTTAACCCAAACTTAAAAATTTCACAACATTTCTCACCTCTCTCCATATTTGTTGCCCTCTCTCTCTCTCTCTCTCTCCCCTGCCCCCTCCCCATCTTGAACAAGATTTTCTTCTTCCTTCTATCTCACATTTCCCTATTGTGAAAAGATCGTGTATGAGAACTTTTCAATTGATGATAATTTATGAAATATTACTATTTTTTGTTGAATATTGGGTGTATTTTTTATTTAACTTATTTTTTCTTATTGAAGCTATATATTGTTTACTATTTTATAGATGTACTGAAAATTATCATGGTAATTTACGATTTCTAGTATGCATACTGGAACAACTTCGTCTTTCAAGTTCTGTACCATATTCCTTTTTCTTGGGAAGAGCTGTGTGTTTTCTATATATATCTGCAAATCCTAGCCAAGACATGTGAAGATGGTATCCCACAATATTTCTTTTGTGTCTGCATGGTCAATGAGAATTCTGGAGGTATGGAATTAATTGCCTTGTGGTCATGTATGTGTACATCTGTGTGTTTGTATCTCATAAGGTTGTGGCTTTTTGAACTAATTCATATTGATTACGACTTTGATTATTTAACACTACATATTTTTGTCATTTCCCACTCTCGCATTTTGTTGAATATTGGGTGTATTTTTTATTGAAACTCTGTTATAATATTCAATGTTTAACAAACAATTGAACAAAGATTCGATCATTTTCTGTGATTTATTAACGTGCATATGTGTAAGAATGAGTCGTTAAAGAAAAAGTAAAAATTTGTGGTTTATGTTAAGCATATTTATAAATTTTACCCAAAATCTATAAAATCCATTGAAATCTATAAAATCCATGAAAATCTTTTAAAATCTAGAAAATAGAAATCCATTCAAATCTTATGAAATCTATTAAATTCTATCAAATTTTATGCAATTCATGATAATTTATAAATATTAAGAAATCTATTGACACCCCGTAAAAAATTGGATAATTCTTGAGCATAAATGTTTGTTTCAAAATTTTGAATCATTCATCGCATCATTTCTCTGAATTCATCGAAGCTAAGGACGCCATCTCCATCAATGTCGAATCTGCTTATCATGCTTGTGCAATGATCCATGGAGCTTGAATTCCCCAGTCGATTCAGCATTTTCTTCAAGCTTTTAGGCGTTATGAATTCACTATTTTCCATTGCGTACATTTTGAATGCGTCCTTCAATTCGTCCTTTCTCTCGTCCTCGCCGCCGCCCAACACTAGCTTCGTGAAGTCCTCTGGCCCCAACATTCCATCGCTGTCTGAGTCTGAAAACTGCACCACCATCTCCGCCTCGTCCTCCGACATTTCGCCACCTAAAGCCCTCACGCACCGCCGTAGCTCTTCTTTTGAGATTTTACCATCGCCGTTTTCGTCGAAGTACCTAAACACCATCTCATTTTCGCTCCATTTATCCACCGCCGGAGCCTCACCGTTTTTATCATCGGAACTTGAAATTGATGGTTTCAGATCCACGGATGCGGACTTCCTCGGCGATAATTTCTGGCGCAATCGCTGGAAAGCTGACTTCGGAGAAGATTGGGGATTTTCTACTCCATTTTCCGGTGAGCTATACGATGTCGTCAGAGAAGGTACTACTGTTTCTCCTTTCTTAACCGTCAGTTCAAATTGATAATTGAAAATATACAACAACAACAGCAGCACCACTACCAATTATTGAAATCTCTCTCGTGTGTGTGTGTATATATATATATATATATATATATTCGTGTTAATATGTCTGAGATATGGCTGATAGTAGATTCTATACTGAAAGTGGATAAGTTTTGATTGTAGATATATATAGTTTTAGAAAAACAATGAGCTGAGAAATCAGGGGGAATCGACTAGTAGAAACCGTGTCGGTTTGGCGGTGAGTGGCCAATTGGCCTCCAGTTTTAGGGCGGCGCGTTTGTGAAACTACTGTATCGTGTTTGACTGGTTAGTTTGGTTCCTTAATGATTTTTTAATTTTTTTTAATGGATAGAAATACAAGTCATGTAGTGCTGGTGATTCTGGAAGGGGTTAACCTGAAGTCATTTATACGTATCTTATTTGTACGAACTTCTTGCACTTGAATTCATAATTAACGCTTTTAACTCAAGAAGTATTTTTTCCAGACACGTGTACTTCTAAGCAATTGGAGCTATCTCTATGTCTCACGATTCTACATTTCGGTTCAACTTTGCTACAATGGCTACAAGGGATTGATAGCCTTCCTACCTGAACACTCACAATAAGAGGTGGAGTCAATTTTTTTTGAAATTTTTTATTCACACGAATTCCACATACATATGAGATAATGTCAAGACTTCTGTCAACAATTTTCGATCAACTTAATTTAATTCACAATTCATTTGCCTCTTGTCCACGTAGGATTTTGCTATAAGTACATTAAGTTCGACAACATGGTGTACAACCTCCCTCACAACAGGGGGCTTGTGATTTTTTTATTGGGCACGGCTCTCTATTGTGAGGGGTTGTACACCGAGATGTCAAAGCTCGGTGTACAAATAGTAAATTTATATATCCTTCCCTGCTGATTATGTTTTACTCACCTAAACAAGTTTAATTTGACCTTTAGAATGATCATCATTTTAAACCCAATTTGACATTATTGTCCTTTATGTATTTTTTTTTATACTCATTTTCAACAGTATATCCGCACATAAAATTTTCTACGCGTAATTTAAAATTTTTTCATACTTTTTAACCACACATTCTTTAAAGATACTATTCAAGACATTATTTTTAAAATTTTGAGAATGTCAAACAAGGGCTTAATTAGACACAGTTTTATATTCTTTGTGTACATTATGATTGATATTGAGTGAAGTGTAAAAATAAAGATCATTGATCGTTTGAAGTCTTAAAATCGATGGCGAAACTGTGTTACATCACACAATTTTAAAAGTAAAAAATAAATAAATTGTCAACTATTACATACACCAAGCTAAACTGAAAAGTAATAAGGCTTGATAAAATGATCATGCCAACTACTAAACATTGGGAAGTCCAGAGATGGGCGAAAGTATAATAATCACATATTTTATGGGATTTACAATTTTCAATCATATATTTTATCAATTTTTATCAAAAATCTTATTTTAATCAACCAAATATGGCTTTAATATTATTTGAATTATTTTATGATTATTAATAACAATTCTTTATTACTTAATTAGTTTATTTAACTTAAAATTTAAATTTTTTTAAAAAAAAATGTAAATAGGCGCACATCTTTCAGCTTGCCCGTATTATAGCCAATCAAAAATATGGTTTACCAGTTGGGAAAATTAAAGAAAATTTCTACATTTTAACTATATTTTTCAAAAATCTGATCTTAAATAGTCCATGTTTGATGGCCTTTAATTTAAAACTCTTTTTTACATACTCATGGTTAACCACGGATTCACACAATAAAATATTTTGTACATAAATCAAATACTTTTTCTCAATTTTTTAACAAGGCATTCTTAAAAAATTCATTATTCAAATTTTTTTTTTTCAAATATTGACCATCAAAGAGGGACTTGTCTATTTCATAAAACTGGTGTTATTCACGTTTTAATATTATTAAATATATTAATAAATTTATTTATATCAACAGAAACTAAATAAAGATAATTATCATTTCCCCACTAGTTTCACCCATCCATACCCATTATCAAGGGGGGGGGGGGGGAGGGATTTTTTTATTATTATAATTTTTTGTAATATTTTACTCTTATAAGGCTCACTCATGTGAGTATTCGGAGGGAATAACAGAACCCCCTGTACACGTACTTGTTTCTTCAAAATGGATTTTGCTTGGTGTACAAGGGAGAGATTCTGAGAACAATACCATGAATGTCGACAATCATCGCCGCCGCCACTTCCCACTACCTACAACAGGTGAAATCACCTCCCAAACACGATTCCATCTTCGATTGGTTTCATAACACCATGTGGGGCACAAAATCTACAAGAAAAGATTCGAATTCGTGAATTGTGAATCTCAAAAATTTTGAATTCAGGCATTGTCGATGGGGCAAGCAAACCTACACCCATGGCGTCACCACTTTTCCATCAATCATACCAAAATTTGCTTTTGATTATGTGCTTCTATTCTTTTATTTTTGTGCCAGCCTTTTCTTTATGTGTCGACGATTTTATTGGCTATGAATTTGTAATGTGTTGAAGGTGCAAACGGTGGTGGTGGTGGTGGATTTTGAAGGATGTGATGGTGATTGTGGATTTGAAGTGGTGGTCGACTTGGGGTGGCGTTGATGATAGTGAAATTGTACATGCAACATATCAATTTATGAACTATATATAATCCTTCTTTTTTTATACTATAATCTTCTAATCATTTAAAAAACTCATTTCTAAAAGTATATGGGGGTTCATATCCACATTTTTATCTATATAACACGATACTAAAAGATCTATTCCTCCTATTTTTATTAGCACCTTAACTTCCAAATCTGTAATATGTACTTGTCCATCAAAATTTACACATCTATATGGATCAGTTTTATAAGTTATTAATCATTTATTTCTAATTGAAGTTATATGACATTCACTAGCTTCTGTATCTATTAATATATTTGGTCTATTTATATTCTCTCCCATTATAATATTCTTCTTCTATTTTCATATTTTCAGCATTCTTATATAATTTTATTTCTTTTATATTATTAAATTCTACTAACTGGTTTTTATTAGGTATTCTAAGACTTTTTGATCTTTTGATTAATTTTTCATTCTTAAATGTTATATTATTAGAACATTCTTATTCATTTAATTATGTTATTTCAGGTTTATTTCTTATTATACAAAATTCATATTCTTCTGCAATTAAACATATTAGTTTATTTGGTTCTATTATTTTTCTAATATCCTTACATTCTTTATGTATTTCAATATAAGGTGTATTAGAATAAATGTTTCCATAATTAGAATTGGTAAATGTGTATAAAGTTTTATACTCTATAGTCATAATTTGATCACTTGATTTCATGATATCATTTCTATGTAATTTAAAATGCAATCCTAAAATTTCATTAAAGTTTCTATCTTTCAATGTTACACAATATTTTGGGTAAAATGTAAACATTATTTTTTGATATGCCAAATTTCTTTCTACTGTTCCTAAATGGTTATCTTTTAAATTTATTATTCTTCCATCATGTAAGGTTATAGTTAAGGGTGAATCTATATCTTCTCTGAATAATGATTTAAACATTATTTGTATTCCTGCTAAATAAACATATTGGATTTTTTCACTTTGTTTTTTACTAACATTTGTTAATAGTTCTTCAACCATATTTTTTGTTAAAAGATTTAATTTATGTTGTCCATATGTTGTTCTTACATCTATGATTTTTTTTTTCTATTTTGTGATATTCATTTGTTGCTATCATTTCTCTTTTCTAAATTCTATCTAAAACTTCCTATTTTCCTATTTTTAAATCTAAAAATAAATCTTTTAATTTTCTAAATTTATTCTTATCAAATGTAATTTTTAATTCATATCCTTCTATTCCTTCATATTTTTGTATATTTATATTATTACTTTCTATTTCCTTATTCAGATTCTGATTCATCATCCTCTGTTTCACTTATATAAACTTTTTGATTATAATATTCTTCAATGTCTGATATTTCACTCAATTCATCTTTTATTTACAAATATTCTTTTTTGTAATATTTTAACTTTCTTTTTATTACAATCAGGGCTTATATGACATATTTCTCCATAATTCCAATATTTACATTGACTTTTTTTTTATAACTTTTATTTTTTCTGTTGACAATATGAGATATTTTTTCTTTTATAATATCTTCTTTTAGGTTTTATATATTTTTTATTAAAATTTCTAAATTTTTTAAATTTTTTATTTTTATATTTTCTTTTATTAACCCTTCTTTCAGTATTACATTCCCACTGTATAGAATTTTTCATATCTTCACAGTATATTCTAGTTAGTTTTGCTGATTTTTTTCATTAATTGTTTTTGTTGACATATATGTGCAAGTCTTTCAAATAAAAATTTTATTCTTGAACCTAAAGTCCTAGGTATTTCAACATTATCTCTAACAAATTTTTCAAATTTCATTTTAAAATATATTCTCCATGAACATGATAAATTATTATAATATATATTTTGGTATACTTCTTAGTTCTCATTACTATAAAATTGAACATAATAATAATTTCTAAATTCACAAGTATATTTTTTTAATTTTACACATATCACATATTGTTAAATTTATTAGTTTAATTCTAGTATTGTCTTTTTCTCTTATTTCTTCTCTTTCAACGTTTCTTATCCAATTTTCTCCTAAAAATTCATCTGAAATATATTCTACTAACTTTTCTATACCTTATTTGTCTGATTTTATTATTTTTGTTTGTACATTTCTTTTTATTAATATTTTTGTATCATTATTTATTCCTTCCCACCAATTTCTAACATCTCATTCAAAGGATACTATTAGGAAATCTATTTTTCTTTCAATATTTTTCCATGTGTCATCTTTATTATATAAAAAGAATAATATCATTGTATCTACCCAAGTTAATAAGACTTTTTTAGTATTTATTTTACAATTTAAATATAATTTTGTTCCTCCATGGTTAATAAGTTTATCATAATTATCATTTAATTCAAATCTATCTCTATATTTAT